TAGCACTCGTTTAATATGGTTTACGATCAAATTTATTAATCTTTCGTAAATAAAACTTTAAACAACTCCATAATTGTGGCGATGTTATCGCTTAATTTTTCTTAAATACATTTTAAAAACTCTGCATTGTTCAAAAAAAATCTTGGGAAAATTGTCAATTTTTCGTTCTCTTTCTTTACCAACGACAGTTTCTTCGGGAGTCTAGGGTTTCTTCATCATCTGTATATGTTGATTGTACAATCATGAAGATTTCGAATTACTTTTCTTTCAAAATTACAACGAGTTGTCTCAGAAATTTGAAACACCAAGTTTATTTTACAGTGTGATAATTATGAAGTGGTGAATACATAAACTTCGTTCCAAATTGATAATAACATTCTTTTAATTTCGTTTGCGACTATCAATTTATGAATCTTTCGTGACTATAAAACTTTGAATAACTACATAATTGTAGCGAAGTTATCACTTAATTCCTCTTCCATCACATTTTAAAAACTCTTCATTGTCTAAAACGAGTTTTGGGAAAATTGTTTAAAGTTTTTCTAGAATTATAACAATTTTATGGACTCCTCGAGTTTACGAATCTTTCGTAACAGCGAACATCTTAATAACTAAATAATTATGTTATTGTTTCTTTATTTTGTCTTAATTTTTTAAATTCAATGGTTTAAAAAAAATTTCCATTGTTTAAAAAAAAAACTTAATTTGGCTCCTTATTTCTTTTAGGGGGTTTGTAGTTTCTTCTTTATTGTTCAATTATGAAGATATAAGATTAGTTGTCTTTTAAAATTACAATGAATAATTTGGCTTCTTCAAAAATTTGTATCAAGGAGTTTATCGGACTATCTTGTAGTAATAAAATCGTGAATACATAAGGTTCGTTCCAAATCAAAATAGCGTTCTTTTAATATGGTTTAGGATCATCAATTTTTTAATTTTTCCTAAATAAAACTTTAAACAACTTAATAATTGAAGCGAACTTATCGCTTAATTTTTCTTAATTACATTTTAAAAACTCTGCATTGTTTAAAAAACGTATTAGGAAAATTGTTTACTACTTTTCCTATGAGTACTTCTCCATAATTAAATAAATACATTATTTCGTCCTCTTTTCCAACAACGGGTTGTTCGGAAGTCCACAGTTTCTTCATCATCTGTATATGTTGATTGTACAATCATGAAGATATCAGATTAGATTTCTTTCCAAATTACAACTAGTTGCCTCACCAAGTTTATTTTACAGTGTGATAATAATGAAGTGGTGAATACATAAACTTCGTTCCAAATTAATAATAACATTCTTTTAATATGGTTTACGACTATCAATTTATGAATCTTTGATAACTGTAAAACTTTAAAAGAAAACTAAATAATTGGAATATTATTTTTTTTATAATAAATTTTAAAATCCTTCAATTTAAAAAATTCTTTCAAGAATTAATTACTTTTCAATTACAATGGCTTCCTCAGAAGCTTGAATGAGTGAATTTCTGGTACTGCTTATGGTAATACAGCAGAGAATAAACTTGATTCCAAATCAATATAGCACTCGTTTAATATGGTTTACGATCAAATTTATTAATCTTTCGTAAATAAAACTTTAAACAACTCCATAATTGTGGCGAAGTTATCGCTTAATTTTTCTTAAATACATTTTAAAAACTCTGCATTGTTCAAAAAAAATCTTGGGAAAATTGTCAATTTTTCGTTCTCTTTCTTTACCAACGACAGTTTCTTCGGGAGTCTAGGGTTTCTTCATCATCTGTATATGTTGATTGTACAATCATGGAGATTTCGAATTACTTTTCTTTCAAAATTACAACGAGTTGTCTCAGAAATTTGAAACACCAAGTTTATTTTACAGTGTGATAATTATGAAGTGGTGAATACATAAACTTCGTTCCAAATTGATAATAACATTCTTTTAATATCGTTTACGACTATCAATTTATGAATTTTTCGTAACTGTAAAACTTTGAACAACTACATAATTGTAGCGAAGTTATCACTTAATTCCTCTTCCATCACATTTTAAAAACTTTTCATTGTTTAAAACGAGTTTTCGGAAAATTGTTGAAAGTTTTTCTAGAATTATAACAATTATATGGACTCCTCGAGTTTACGAATCTTTCGTAACAGCGAACATCTTAATAACTAAATAATTATGTTATTGTTTCTTTATTTTGTCTTAATTTTTTAAATTCAATGGTTTAAAAAAATCTTCCATTGTTTAAAAAAAAACTTAATTTGGTTCCTTATTTATTTTAGGGGGTTTGTGGTTTCTTCTTTATTGTACAATTATGAAGATATAAGATTAGATGTCTTTTAAAATTACAATTAATAATTTGGCTTCTTCAAAAATTTGTATTAGCGAATTTATCGTACTATCTTGTAGTAATAAAATCGTGAATACATAAGGTTCGTTCCAAATCAATATAGCGTTCTTTTAATATGGTTTACGATCATCAATTTATGAATTTTTCCTAAATAAAACTTTAAACAACTTAATAATTGAAGCGAAGTTATCGCTTAATTTTTCTTAATTACATTTTAAAAACTCTGCATTGTTTAAAAAACGTATTAGGAAAATTGTTTACTACTTTTTCCTATGAGTACTTCTCCATAATTAAATAAATACATTTTTTCGTCCTCTTTCGCAACAACGGTTTGTTCGGGAGGCTACGGTTTTTTCATCATCTGTATATGTTGATTGTACAATCATGAAGATATCGGATTATTTTTCTTTCCAAATTACAACTAGTTTCCTCAGAAATTTCAGTCACCAAGTTTATTTTACAGTGTGATAATAATGAAGTGGTGAATACATAAACTTCGTTCCAAATTAATAATAACATTCTTTTAATATCGTTTACGACTATCAATTTATGAATCTTTCGTAACTGTAAAACTTTGAACAACTACATAATTGTAGCGAAGTTATCACTTAATTCCTCTTCCATCACTTTTTAAAAACTCTTCATTGTTTAAAACGAGTCTTGGGAAAATTGTTTAAAGTTTTTCTAGAATTATAACAATTTTATGGACTCCTCGAGTTTACGAATCTTTCGTAACTGCGAACATCTTAATAACTAAATAATTATGTTATTGTTTCTTTATTTTGTCTTCATTTTTTAAATACAATGGTTTAAAAAAATCTTCCATTGTTTAAAAAAAATCTTAATTTGGTTCCTTATTTATTTTAGGGGGTTTCTAGTTTCTTCATTATTGTACAATTATGAAGATATAAGATTAGATATCTTTTAAAATTACAAAGAATAATTTGGCTTCTTCAAAAATTTGTATCAGCGAATTTATCGTACTATCTTGTAGTAATAAAATCGTGAATACATAAGGTTTGTTCCAAATCAATATAGCGTTCTTTTAATATGGTTTAGGATCATCAATTTATTAATTTTTCCTAAATAAAACTTTAAACAACTTAATAATTGAAGCGAAGTTATCGCTTAATTTTTCTTAATTACATTTTAAAAGCTGCATTGTTTAAAAAACGTCTTAGGAAAATTGTTTACTACTTTTTCCTATGAGTACTTCTCCATAATTAAATAAATAATTTTTTCGTCCTCTTTCCCAACAACGGGTTGTTCGGAAGTCCAGGGTTTCTTCATCATCTGAATATGTTGATTGTACAATCATGAAGATATCAGATTATTTTTCTTTCCAAATTACAACTAGTTTCCTCAGAAATATCAGTCACCAAGTTTATTTTACAGTGTGATAATAATGGAGTGGTGAATACATAAACTTCGTTCCAAATTAATAATAACATTCTTTTAATATCGTTTACGACTATCAATTTATGAATCTTTCGTAACTATAAAACTTTGAACAACTGCATAATTGTAGCGAAGTTATCACTTAATTCCTTTTCCATCATATTTTAAAAGCTCTTCGTTGTTTAAAACGAGTCTTAGAAAAATTGTTTACAGTCTAGAATTATAACAATTTTATGGACTCCTCGAATTTACGAATCTTTCGTAACAGCGAACATCTTAATAACTAAATAATAATGTTATTGTTTCTTTATTTTATCTTAATTTTATAAATTCAATGGTTTAAAAAAATCTTCCATTGTTAAAAAAAATCTTAATTTGGTTTCTTATTTATTTTAGGGGGTTTCTAGTTTCTTCATTATTGTACAATTATGAAGATATAAGATTAGATATCTTCTAAAATTACAAAGAATAATTTGGCTTCTTCAAAAATTTGTATCAGCGAATTTATCGTACTATCTTGTAGTAATAAAATCGTGAATACATAAGGTTCGTTCCAAATCAATATAGCGTTCTTTTAATATGGTTTAGGATCATCAATTTATTAATTTTTCCTAAATAAAACTTTAAACAACTTAATAATTGAAGCGAAGTTGTCGCTTAATTTTTCTTAATTACATTTTAAAAACTGCATTGTTTAAAAAACGTCTTAGGAAAATTGTTTACTACTTTTTCCTATGAGTACTTCTCCATAATTACATAAATACATTTTTTCGTCCTCTTTCCCAACAACGGTTTGTTCGGGAGGCTACGGTTTTTTCATCATCTGTATATGTTGATTGTACAATCATGAAGATATCAGATTATTTTTCTTTCCAAATTACAACTAGTTTCCTCAGAAATTTCAGTCACCAAGTTTATTTTACAGTGTGATAATAATGAAGTGGTGAATACATAAACTTCGTTCCAAATTAATAATAACATTCTTTTAATATCGTTTACGACTATCAATTTATTAATCTTTCGTAACTGTAAAACTTTGAACAACTACATAATTGTAGCGAAGTTATCACTTAATTCCTTTTCCATCATATTTTAAAAACTCTTCGTTGTTTAAAACGAGTCTTAGAAAAATTGTTTACAGTCTAGAATTATAACAATTTTATGGACTCCTCGAATTTACGAATCTTTCGTAACAGCGAAAATCTTAATAACAAAATAATTATGTTATTGTTTCTTTATTTTATCTTAATTTTTTAAATTCAATGGTTAAAAATATCTTCCATTGTTAAAAAAAAACTTAATTTGGTTCCTTCTTTATCTTGGCGGGTTTGTAGTTTCTTCTTTATTGTACAATTATGAAGAAATAAGATTAGTTGTCTTTTAAAATTACAATGAATAATTTGGCTTCTTCAAAAATTTGTATCAGTGAGTTTATGGTACTATCTTGTAGTAATAAAATCGTGAATACATAAGGTTCGTTCCAAATCAATATAGCGTTCTTTTAATATGGTTTACGATCATGAATTTATGAATTTTTCGTAAATAAAACTTTAAACAACTTAATAATTGAAGCGAAGTTATCGCTTAATTTTTCTTAATTGTATTTTAAAAGTTCTGCATTGCTTAAAAAACGTCTTAGGAAAATTGTTTACCACTTTTTCCTATGAGTACTTCTCTCTCCTTAATTAAATAAATACATTTTTTCGTCCTTTTTTCCAACAACAGGTTGTTCGGGAGTCTACGGTTTCTTTATCATCTGTATATGTTGATTGTACAATCATGAAGATATCAGATTAGTTTTCTTTCAAAATTACAACGAGTTGATGCATCGGAAATTTGAATCACCAAGTTTATTTTACAGTGTGATAATAATGAAGTGATTCTTTCGTTCCACATTCTTTTAATATCGTTTACGACTATCAATTTATAATCTTTCGTAACTGTAAAATGTTGAACAACTAAATGATTCTAGCGAAGTTGTCGTTTAATTCGATCACATTTTAAAAACTCTTCATTGTTTAAAACAAGTTGTAGGAAAATTGTTTAAAGTTTGTCTAGATTATAAGAATTTTGTGGATTCCCAAAATTAATTCCTTTTTAGAGCCCTTTCGTCAATTATATTGTACAGCTAAAGAGCCTGCCAGGGGAAAGCCGATGTTTACTGCACCCAAGTTCGCCCGCTCCGGGCAGTCTGGCAGGCAGGTATGGTACTAAAGTTATAAATCATAACGACAAAGAAACCCGTCGGATTTAAGTACCAACTTCACCACAGTAAGTAGGCTAAATACCTCCCTCTGATAACGTTAATGCACCCCATCCTTTTATACCTGCATTATTTGTATAATATCTTTGATCATTCATGAACACTATTATTACTATCAAATTTAATTTAATTTAATTAAAGACGCTCTGCAGTTGTGTCGTACTCATACTGGCATTTGAAGAATAGTGTGTATATAAATATTATTGTACAAATAGAGAAGGTAGAAAAGGATGGGGTCCAGTAACGTTATCAGAGGGAGATAATTACCCTAAGCTACTTACTGTGGTAAAGTACTTAAATTCGACGGGTTTCTTTGTCGTTATGATATGTAATTTTAGTAAAAGTTTCTTAAAGTGGTGAAGCGACTACAAATTTCTTGGAAAAGCTGCGATTCGAAAAGGGCTATAAAACAAATTAACTCTGGGAGTCCATAAAATTCTTATAATTCTAGACAAACTTTAGTTCTTTTTACCATGAGTTCTTTCTCATCAATAAATTAATACATTTTTTTAACAACGTTTTTCGTAACTAAATCATTAAACAACTAAATAGTTGTAGCAAAGTTATCGCTTAATTTTTCTTCATTATATTTCAAAAACTCTTCATTGTTTAACAAAAGCAACCAGTCGCCCGATGGACTCGATTACAATACTTCCTTAGCTTACACTTGCTTATAAATAAATTTTTTTAACAACGAATTGTTCGGGCGTCTTATAGTTCATCATCTGTATACGTTTTTGTACTGTTATGGAGGTCTCTGATTAGGTTTTTGTTAAAAAAAAGTTTGGATCACCGATTTAAATGAATATATAAACTTCGTTCCAAGTCAATACAGCATTATTTTAATGGTTTACTACTCAATTTATGATCTTTCATAACTATAAAACTTTAAACAACTAAAGAGTCGTGGCTTAATTTTTGTTTCATTACATTTTAAAAACTATTTCTGTGCTAAAACTATTTGGACAAAGTATATACAAAACTGACAGTTTGTCGTGTTATTTTTTTTTTACACGGAACTTTTTTGTTGTAGTTGTGCTTTTTTGTGGTCGATATATTACATATTTTTTTTTACAACCAATTGTTCGGGCGTCTACACTTTCCAAGTATGATAAATTCAAATCAGAATTTAAAAAAAAACGAAATTCTTTGATTAAAATTATTGATGCAAGTCAACTGAAACTTCTAAAGACATTTTTACTTTTAATTTATTAAAAAAATTGAATTAACAGTGATCAACGAACTTTATATATATGTGTGTAGCGTATTCAAGGCTTTAAAAGTATTTTTTATATTTATATGATTTATGCTGTGTAGTATTATTTTTTAAAGAAAAATTGTAATAATGACTGTGTATTTAGTCATATACTGCTTCCATATGCAAGACTGTTAAACGTGGCCAAGTTTACAAATATCCTGATTTCAAAAAATAAAATAAAAGAAATAAATCAATTTCCATATTGAAATACAAATATTTTTATAAACTTGACCGCACTCTATACAATTTGCCTCGAAACGAGAAGCAAATAAGTGACCTTAGAATCTAAGTAGAGCTCATTCAAATTTGGCGCGCTTTTGATAAAAGAAACGGCTACATTCCTGAATTGATTGCGGTTGAGAGGATAATTTTAAGGTTATAAGCGTGAATTTTGGCGAAATATGAACAAGCACACTCGTCGTGAACGTTTTCTTTTGGGGTTTTTCGCAACTAAAAGTTGGTTGAATTTTTGTTGGTACGAAATTTTGGATTTTTTCTTGCCGTGTTCCGGAAACGGATGGCGCGTTTTCGCAAGATTTGATTGGACAAAAGCGGTAGGAAAATAATTCTCGTGCAATAGACTCTGTTACGCGAAATTTACCTTATGGTAATAACGAATAAAGTTTACGTCCGTGACGTCAGAGAAATGTCACATCGCCGCGCGCTCCCCGCGGCCCGCCGAGATTCCCACCGTTTCTACAGTTGGCTCCCCTGACCCCGTCTTGCGCTTTTAGCTACGCTGTCGATTCAGATAGAAAGTCAAGATGGCTGCGAGCAACATCGCACACAATTATGGTGGCATCAATAATAACTAACTTAACCCTATCTAGTGGCGAATTGTGATAATATAACCTAAAAAGTGTATTTTATAAACAAGTTTAAAAAGACTAATAATATTTGTGGTTCGGAGTAAAAGTGAATTCCATTTAAAACTCGTCGGCGTACTTGTACAAAATGGCGTCACGTAGTGGTGTTGCATGAACTTGATGATAAAATCGCCAAATTTTCGCGTTAAGGTCAAAATTTGCCGAAATTCAACGTTATGAAAACATTAAAGGACGTTTCGCGATTGTTTTGGGAAAATTTTCGTCGTGCTTGTTCATAGTAAAAACGAGATATTGAAGATAAACGTGGTGCAAGATGCCTGAGGTAAGAATAACCCTTTAAATACTAATTCGGGGGCTGTTATTTAGTTAAAATGCTTTTCCCGTGGATTATAACGTGTTTTTTAAATACTGCGTCAATGTGAACTCAAGGGCGTGGTCTGATTACCCGTAAGACTTTACACACTTTTCTTCAGTATATTGTTGTTTACAAACAGTTTTTGGCCATTTTCGCCCCCTTGCCGATCGTGTTCCACACTTTTCTTTCCGTATTTATATTCTCAACACTTCTAGAAACCCGTCGCTAGCAAAATTTTCAATTTTTGAGATGGACCCTTTTGAGCAATTTAAGGCTAAAGTTGTGCTTTTAACAGGTTGGAACCTCCCTTACTACTTCCCAGTACGTTTACCTATGTTTCCTGGGCCTTTTTACTTCCTTTCAATGCCCTGCTTTTCTCCTAAACGCCTTCAAACCATATCTAAGACTTTTCATTCATAATTCGTTTGTATTATAATTTTTTGCACCACTTTTACAGTGGGGTTGATCTGATTGTCGAATGTAACCTCTATGAATCCTGACTTTTTTGTTATGTATTCTTATAAACGTTAACGTGGACCATAACAGGAAATCTGAGAATGTTTAGGGTACAATTGTTAACCAGAATTAGGGATACTGTAAATTTTACCCCCCTCAGTCGACTACAGAAAAATCTTTTTTAGTAGGTGCTCCATACACGTACACGAGTAATATTTACACGTTTATTTAAAGAAAAAACTCGTGGTTTTCCAACAGAAAAGATTTTTTCTAGTAGCTCCACCCAATTATACCCCAAATTACAGGTGACTTGCCCTTACAAATTATTGTTACATAAAATTATATTAATTATGATTCTGCATTTACAAATCATCAGATAATGACATGTTTATTTTATTATTTACGTACCTACTTTGTATTTATTGTGTTATATAGAAAAAAATAAACAATATTGTTGTTTTTACGTTTTTATTATAGGGGTCTTAATTAACTTCAATTTTACCGTAACAGCGATTCCCGAACTTAAGTCTTCTTTTTTTTCGTCTATATATTTGTTAAGTTTGAGCAAAAATAAGGCAGTGTTATTTTTTTTAGACTGGTGACGTATCAGATTCAGAAAATTCTGGGTCTGGATCAGACAACGAAAGCAAAAGTGATTCTTCATCTAATAACTCTGGATCAGAAAGGTAAGCTATTGGAATTTGGTGCTGGTAATTAGTATAAGATTGTCATTAAATTAATTAAAAAAAAATCATTTTTGACAAACATTAAAAAGTAGTGCACTTCAAAATCTTCACTTCTGCGAATTTTGACTACACAAAGGTAAGTATTAATTACGTTATACTTGTCTTTGAAAAAATTAACGAAAGGGTTCGCGATCGCTGATTGATTTCGTAAACGTGCGTAATTGGATTTCAATTAATTCGTTTCCAATTTGATAAAACATTTTTTAAAAATTTGCAAAATTAATCGAAAATTTTCAAAGAGGTAAATTGTAATTGGCACCTCTGACTGTATTTTGGAATTTAGTACGATTTTTCAATCCTTAATAAGTTTAAATCGTGGGGGGATTTTAATTAATTTTAATCGGTAAACAATAAACTACTTGAGTATTTGTTCTTTTACAAGTTGATAATGACGCGAAACTTTGAAAATTTTTTATGTAAGGCGCTCATTTTTTATTTTTACTTTTCGCTATTGTGGAAAATTTCCGTTTTGATTTTGCGACAACTGAGTTAAATTTTCAAAGAACACAAATTATTCAACGAAATTTTGAAAACGTTTTACTTTTTCAACATATTACAAAGTGTAATTTTGACGAAAGATTTTTTTTGGAAACGAAGGTCACCAATTTACTAATGATTTTGAAAATATTTTCAAACAGACAACTACTATTCCAGTTTGAAAAATATTGATCGGAGCTACAATTTTTCAGAAAAAAATTCGGTTAAGTATGGCATCCAAGTCCCAATTTTTATTATTATTTATAAAAAAAGACCTTCAAGTGAACAATAACGACGCTTTTATAGCATTCCATTGAATTGTAATAACAATTCAAATTTTTAATGTCGATTTCGTTGTTGTAAACATTAATTGTGCTACATATATTGCAAAATTGGATGACGTCATTAGCTTTTCGGAGGGATGAATAAATAAATTTGTTTATGTGCTTGTATACCTAGATAAATATTAGAATTTTTAAAGGAAAGGAAAACAAAACTGTTTATATTCGAATTTCAGTACTTCGTTTAGGTATCTGAGGGTTAATTAATATTGGCAAATTGGCAATATTTTAAAGATATACATTTGGAAAATTCACAGGGGCAACTATTTTTGATAGAAAAGATTGGTCCGTAGTTAAGGATGTTGCTACGTTGAAATCGACAAGAAATACCTTCGTAAAAATCAATAGTAAAATAACGACTTGGCTGCGCTTACAGGAAAAACTTAATTACTACTTGATTATACATTGTATAGTAGTATTTTAAATAAAAAGTGGCCAAATTCTTACCTAAAATTCACACAAAAGTACTGAAATTTTATAAAACAAAGCAATCAATTTTTAACATCGTCGCTACAAGGCACCATTTTACCATTGATTTTTACGAGCTTGGATAAATACTTTTTGGTGACAGCTTTATCGTAGCAACACTTTCTGCAACGGTGCGGTTCAAAATAATCGTAATTATTGTGTAAATTATCTAAAAAATTTTCGAAAAATACCACAAAAAAACGCTACGTAAATCTGAAGGAGACAAAGTCATAAAATACGTATTTTCGTTGATGGCCTATATGCTGCAAAATTAGCCCCCACATTGCTACTTCTAAAAGTGAAAGACAATTACCCCCGAGATCGTCACTTCTAAAAATGAAACAAAATCGGGATCTCGAGGTTCTTTATTTATTTGATGCTATTTCCACAATCGAAACACATTTAGCTCCCGAGATTGCTACTTTTAAAAACGAAACAACAGATTCTCGGGATTCTTTATTCTGTGTTATGCTAATTGGTTTATTAATGTTTATGTTCAACTCATGACCGACTAATTACGTCCTTGTGAAGGTGATAATGAATTATTTCCCCTTCTATGATTCTCGGATTTTAAATCAAAAACGAAGCTGCGTGGGAGGAAAAAACTAAAAACAGATTCGTAATCAGCAGAAAAAAAATTGAAACAATTGTCCATAAAAGCAGCTAACATATAAAAATCCGCAGGAGCGATTGAGAACAATAAATTTGGGTTTAGATAACGACAAATTTGAGTTATCACTTGGCTTATAACGATGGTTGTATTTATTATATATATATATATATTTTTTTTTCATTTTGTCATAAGAGTTAAAACCAAAAATAAAATGTCCGGAGGCTCTCGAGTTCGGTTCTGATATCTGGAACATAAAAAGCTTAGGCCTGTCGAAATTTATACCCAAATTTATTGATTCCCAAACCCGGAACAAAGGCGGCTATGCAAACAAGTGTCAAACTAGTTGTCAAAGTAATAACGCATTATCGCCGCCATATTTAGTTTTTTCGTTAAAAATCAAACATTCTTGTTATCAGTCTTTTGATATTTAGATACTTTTAAAATTTGCTGCAGCCAATAATTTTTAAGATGGCTAAATACAAAGCACACAGGAATTAGCAGAAAAAAATACATTTATTGTTTAAAGAAACCTCCAGATTGTGCTACTACAATGTATGAAAGGTAAGTCTAACTATACAGTACGGTTTATTATTCAATACGATTAAAAAAAAACACTTCTAACAAGCTTTGATTTTTAATATTTAAAAAAGTATGTTGGTAACACCAACACATTCCTAGATAGATTCAAATAACTCAAATAAAGGGTCAAATGGCCGCAACAACGTTAGTTTAAAAATACGGTTCAGTGTCATACAGCAATATAAGTGATTCTATAAAATATCCAGCTTGACCACCTGACATGACTCCACTAGATCGTTTTAGAAAGAGTGTAAACAGAAAGAACGAAAAAGCTACAAAATACAGGAAAATCCCAGACAAGTATGCTCCATTTTGAGCACAAATTGTGCACCCCGTGCTCTACATTTTAATGTTGTCTTAGTCACCACAAAACTCGAAATAACGACTCCGTTTCACAGTGATTCCGGCTCTTCGTCCTCCAGCGGGTCAGACTCGGGAGGAGAGGTCCTATCAGGAAACGATGACTCAAAAACCGACGGTAAAACAAGTCCTTTAGAAACTAGTCCCGATACTTCAACCAACTCGCCAGATTCAAAATCTAAGAGAAAATCAGACTCGAAAGAGGTACTAATAACTCCCTTGAGTGCGTACTTGTTACTAATGTATCTTCAACAGTGGGAAGAAAATCCGGACATTTTTGGCATCCGAAGATCGTCTAGATCACGTAAGGAACCGGAGCGACTGCAAAATAAAGGCGAAGGAAAAAAGAAGAAAAGGTAGTAGTGGTTGCGGTCGATCTAAATGTCACCGTATTGATCGTGATTTTGCAGTGATGAGTGGAGATACAACGACGACGACAGTTCGTCTGAATCGGAAGAAGATAAGGAAATCCCGCCTCCGAGCAAGAGGGTTGGAGCTAAACGTGCCACCGTGAAGAAAGCCAAGACTAAAACTAACTACAGTTCGGACGATTCTAGTATTGATAGTGATGAAGATAAGAGAAGGACGGTTTCGAGGAGGACGGCAGGTGCTTCGGTTAGTTATAAGGAAGATAGTGAAGAAGATAAAACTGACTCTGAAGACTTATTAGAAGTAGAATACACCGAGACATCGGAACCTGTACCTGAAGAAAAATGTGAAACTATTGAAAAAATTTTGGCACAGAGGAGAGGGAAGAAAGGAGGTACTAAACGAATTGTTCGTACTGTGACAATGTCCGCTAACATGTTTGTGTGTTCTAGTAACCGGAAACATCACAACTATGTACTATATTGAAGATAACGGGGATCCTAATGAGGGAGTGGACCCGAATGATCTTGAAAACACGGAACAACAATACGTCATCAAGTGGAAAGATTGGGCCCATATACATAACACGTGGGAATCGGAAGACTCGCTGAAGGAACAGAAGGTTAAAGGAATCAAGAAGCTAGAAAATTATATCAAGAAAGAGATGGAAATACAACAATGGATGAGGTACGCAACTCCCGAAGATATCGAATACTACGAGTGTCAATTGGAGCTGTCCCAAGAACTTTTGAAGAGTTACAACAACGTCGAGAGGATTATAGCGAAATATAATAAACCCGACGGCGGCATTGATTACTTCATCAAATGGGAGAGTCTTCCGTACGCTGATTCCACGTGGGAGGACTCCGTCTTAATCCAGAAACGGTGGCCAAAGAAAATCAAAGAATTCGAAGACCGGGAACAATCAAAGCAGACTCCCACCAAACACTGTAAAGTTTTGAAGTACAGGCCGAAATTCCACGAGGTGAAAACGCAGCCTCAGTATATGATGGGCGTTGAAAAGGTAGTATTCTTAAGCGAAGTTTGTAACCGTACTTAAGTCGCTTTTTGTTTGGTGTAGAACCTCGTTCTGAGGGACTACCAAATGGACGGACTCAACTGGCTGATCCACTCCTGGACGAAAGAAAACTCCGTTATTCTGGCTGATGAGATGGGCCTGGGTAAAACAATCCAGGTAATAAACCATTACAGGTAAATACAACATTGGTTTTTTAGATTTTAATGGCAACTATTTTTTGTTCAGACGATATGCTTTCTGTATTATCTCTTCAACACCTATCAATTACACGGACCGTTCCTGTGCGTTGTGCCGTTGTCGACAATGACGTCATGGCAGCGGGAGTTTGCGCAGTGGGCTCCGGAGTTGAATTTTGTTACGTACTTGGGGGACGTTCAATCCCGAGATACGGTAAATTTGGTAGTTTTGGGGTTTACAAGCGTCTAACGATTCGTGTTTAACAGATCAGACAATACGAGTGGAGCTACGAAGGTTCCAAGCGACTGAAATTCAACGCCATCTTAACCACCTACGAAATAGTCCTCAAAGACAAAGCATTCCTCGGTAGTTTAAGTTGGGCTGTGTTGTTAGTGGACGAAGCGCATAGGTAGGATTCGTGTTTTGGGTTAAAACCGACCTTAAACCACTCTTTCCAGACTTAAAAATGACGATTCTCTACTCTACAAAGCTTTGATGGAGTTCGACACGAACCACCGTCTGCTCATCACGGGTACTCCTCTTCAAAACAGCCTCAAGGAACTTTGGGCTCTCCTCCACTTTATTATGCCTCAGAAGTAAGTAGTGTAGTACCAGTTGCGTTTCGTTTTTTATAGCGTCACACAGTGGTCCCACCTTGACCCTCTTTTGTGTATTATTTTTTGTTTACTTCTTTTTTTGAGACCGTTTGCGGCAATATAATGAATTAAAACTCTTTCTGACTACCTTGAATGTGTGATTCATAGCGAGTTGGCGCGCAGGTTCCAGACTTGGGAAGATTTTGAAAAGGATCACGAGCACGCCTCCACCAAAGGCTACTCAAGGCTCCACAAGCAGTTGGAACCTTTCATCCTTCGTAGGGTGAAGAAGGACGTAGAGAAGTCGTTGCCAGCCAAAGTCGAACAAATCCTACGTGTGGAAATGACGACGGTGCAAAAACAGTACTATAAGTGGATCCTTACGAAGAACTACAACGCGTTGCGTAAAGGCGTGAAGGGCTCGACCAACACCTTCTTAAATATCGTGATCGAACTAAAAAAGTGTTGTAATCACGCGTTGTTAACAAAACCGACCGAGTACGAGTCGAGCAATACTCAGGAAGATCAACTTCAGCTCTTGCTTCGCGGTTCCGGTAAACTAGTGTTGTTGGACAAACTGTTGATTCGTTTGCGCGAGACGGGTCATAGGGTGTTGATATTCTCCCAAATGGTGAGAATGTTGGATATTTTAGGTGAATATCTGCAGTTGCGCCATTTTCCGTTTCAACGTTTGGACGGCGGTATTAAAGGCGAAATGAGAAAGCAAGCGCTGGATCATTTCAACGCCGAAGGATCTCAAGACTTTTGTTTTCTTTTGTCGACGCGTGCTGGCGGTTTAGGTATTAATTTAGCGACGGCTGATACTGTGATTATATTCGATTCGGACTGGAATCCTCAAAACGACCTACAGGCTCAAGCGAGGGCCCACAGGATCGGGCAGAAAAACCAAGTCAACATCTACAGGTTAGTCACCGCGCGGTCAGTAGAAGAAGAGATTGTTGAACGTGCCAAACAAAAAATGGTATTAGATCACCTCGTCATCCAAAGAATGGACACCACGGGACGGACGGTACTGGACAAGAAAGGGTCGTCTAATAACAACCCGTTCAACAAAGAGGACCTCACGGCGATCCTCAAATTCGGGGCTGAAGAATTGTTCAAAGACGAAGATGACAAAGACGAGGAACCAAATGTAAGAGAAAGAACACCCGTAGAGTCGCGGTTTTAATTGATTTTTGCAGTGCGACATCGACGAAATTCTCAGAAGAGCGGAAACCCGGGACGAAGCACCCACTTTAGCCGGGGACGAACTCTTATCGGCATTCAAGGTAGCCAATTTTGCCGCTTTCGACGAAGACACGGAACCTTCCCCAGTAAACGCAACCCCCGCAGACGACGAAAGTAAAGATTGGGACGAAATCATTCCTGAAAAGCTCCGAAAGAAGGTCGAAGAAGAAGAAAGATCCAAGGAGATGGAGGACCTGTACCTTCCCCCGCGATCCCGGAAGACGCTCCAGCAGATCAACCAGTCGGAAAGCGACGGCGAAGATGGCAAAGGCAAGAAGAAAAAGAAGAAAGAGGCGGAGGACTCGGGTGGGTCGAGCGGCGAAGGGGATGATAGCGACGAAGAAAGACCGCGGAAAAGGGGGCGACCACCTTTAGCTAACCGAGAACGAATTAAGAACTTCACGGACGTTGAGGTAAGATCGACTATTGTCACCAAGGCGGAACTAACTGTTTTTCCAGATCCGGCGATTCGTGAAGAGTTATAAGAAATTCAGCGCTCCTTTGAAGAGGTTAGAGGCGGTAGCTTGCGACGCGGAATTGCAAGAAAAGCCGTTAGCCGAGCTGCGGAAGCTTGGCGAACTACTTCATGAAAGGTGTCGCGCTTACATGGGCGAACACACCAAAGAAAACGAAGGTACTCAAGATGAAACTAGTCGTGGTAGGAAGCGCATGCGCGGTCCGTCGTTCAAACTGGGCGGAGTTTCCGTAAACGCCAAAACGATGATGGCTTGTGAGGAGGAACTCCAACCTTTAGATGAAGTGCTTCCGTCTAATCCGGACGAACGGAGTAAATGGGTTTTGGATGCCCGAACCAAACCGGCTCACTTCGACGTCGAATGGGACGTCAACGAAGACTCGAAATTGCTTCAAGGGATATACGTTTATGGAATGGGGTCGTGGGAGCAGATCAAATTGGACCCGACTTTCGGGATCGGTGATAAAATCCTATTAAACGAGGATAAAAAACCACAAGCCAAACATCTCCAGTCAAGGGCGGAATACTTACTAAAAATCTTAAAGAAACAATTAGATCAGAAGAAAGGTGTCTCCAAACCAAAGAGACAACGGAAGTCGAAAGAAACCAAAGCTTTGACTAAAGAAATCATCGACAATGATGATATTAGTTCAAACGATGAAGCGTCTGCCGTTACGTCGTCGACCAGTACGGCGACAGCCGTTCCTAAAAAGAGCAAATCCACACCCAAAAAGGACGACGATAAAGAAGCCGATAGTTCCACGAAGTCACACAGCGAGAAAAAGGAGAAGAAGAAAGACAAAAAGAAAGATAAGAAAGTCGCAGGACCAATGCACTTCACAGCAAACAACGAACCCACAGCAGTACACGTATTGGGTGATTTAGATCCTTCCATATTCAATGAAGTACTAACGACTGCGCCACTTTCGTACCCCTCGTAACGGTTTTTTGTTCTAGTGTAAAGAAAAAATGAGACCGGTTAAAAAAGCACTCAAAGCACTTGATAATCCAGATCAGTCTTTATCCGAAGCGGAACAGGTAAATCACACCAGACTTTGCCTAATCCAAATCGGCGAACAAATCAGCCACTGCTTGAACGAGTACAACGATCCGGAAAAAATTAAAGAGTGGAGAAGGTTTGTGGTTTATTAAATAACAAGACAACCAATTGACGTTTCTATTGCAGTAATTTATGGTACTTCGTTTCAAAATTCACTGAATTCGATTCAAAAAAGTTATACAAGTTGTACAAAAGAGCATGCAAAAAGTCAGACAAAATGGAGAAGAAGGCTGAGGTATGTAGTGATAGCTAAGTGTTTGGTCAACGGTACTAATACCCGAGATTTCAGGATGCATCCGGTAGCACAAGCAAAGAAAGGAAGAGCGATAGTAAAGACGATCGCGAACATACAAACAAAAGACGCCACGAAGGTGACGAAAAAGAGGAACGCGAATCCAAGAAACATCACTCAGAAAAGTACTACCTGAATTGCTACAATGATCCAGAATGCGTAATTTTTTCGTGTTTTTTGTAGGAAAGAAAAGCGCGACAAAAGTGAAAAAGAGAAAGAAAAGAAGAGGAAAAATCGTGACGAACCAGAAGAAGAAGGTGAATGGTCTCGCTATGGTCGCAGTAGCCGAAAACCCAGTTCCATGCAGAAAGGTGGTTTTCGACATGACCAAATGTCTCATGTTGAGCATGAAAGGTGGGCAGGTGGGCAATCTAGAGACCGTTTCGCCGACCATAAACGTGATAGGTACGACTATCCGCGACAGGGTGGATACCACAGGGGTGACTTTAATCGTTCTGATAAAAGGTTAGTTGTGTATTTGTCGGTTCGGGTTTGTGTTAATGTTAATCTGGTGTAGATCTCCCGATGGTCCCGATCTGTGGCGGTTTCCAAGAAATCCACGGGACGCGATGCCTCCCATGGGTCAAAGACCGCCAATTTACTACGGTCCTTCTCCAAATTTTCCTTCAGCCATGCCCGTGTACATACCCGAACAGTTTCAAAGAGACCGATTTGCAGCTGGTGACTGGCGTCCAGGAGAAAGAGACTTTAGACGCGAGTACGATAGGCGGCCACAATAGATTAATATCGTAATCTAGGAAGAAAATGTGTGCATAACAATGTACAGTGTTTAAAATGTGGGGTGATTATTAACTGTTTTGAAAAGTTGTTGAGAGTTTTCCGTTGTATTTATGTTTCCTTTTTGTTTGTCTCAATGATTTTTCATCCGTGTCCTGCATTTTTTTCATTACCAAAAGATGTTTTATATTATTTTACGCAATTATAGTTAAATCCCAAAAAGGTGGCTGTGTTATGCCAACACAATTCTGATGTGCAGGCCTATCCAACCAGTGTAAATGACAACTTAAATGTAAATACAAATAGATATGTTTTGATAACTTATTGTTTTATTTCTAACTTGCAGCAGACTAATAAAATTGTACACAGAAAAGCGAAGTTTTTGTACAAAGCGAAAACCGACAGCGTTTACACAAACAAACTAAAGTTGACGATATCCAAGCCGTCTTTAGCGTGGCTTGCTAAAATTCAGGGTCAAGATTACGTTCCACGAAAGACAAAAGGTAAGCAAATTTTTACTCATACCTACTGTGCAAAAATACACCATGTTCAGTGGATTATTGTTACATAATGGAAAATACCGTCATCATGTAAGCTTTTAATCCGACAAGCTGACTGCAGCCTTCACGTTTAAGCGACTCATAACCGGATTGGCATATTGATTTCACCCAAATAATCCAGGGAAGAGCACTACCTGATACCGATTTAACTATACGTAGTGGATGTCGATAAATGCTACAAAAATTAGACACTCGTTTCAAAAAGCCCAAAGAGGTTAGCGCGTCCGTTGTATCGTATGTTTCTCACTGCAATTTTCGTTTCTTTTGTCATAATACTGAGTCAAGTAGTAAAGTTAATTTTATTTAACCGTTCGCGAAGTAGAGTCTGGCTTAACTCAAATGTGCTCAGTGATTTAAAGTGTGTGCCGTGTGAAATGTTAAATGAAACTTCTGACAAGGTACACATTTATGTCTTAAATCTTTTTATTTCGTTACAAAGCTATGAAAATAACTTATCTCTGCCTAGTGTCAATTAAAACTAAACGCCGCACCGCTGAATCCACACACAAGGTAGTACACAATTTTGGTACCGCCTTTTAGAAACCTCACATACTATGTGAAAGAATAAGACTAAAATATTAAGCTTACAGAAACACTTATCACTATTTTATAAGTGTATAAGTACTTAAGCGATGATTAAAATGAATAAATGATGGCAAGATCATTTTAACGGCTGTTTAATTTAATTAAGATTGTGATTAAGTGGTGAAATGTTGTTGGTTTCTCCCTTCCAAAAAATTGATGACGTAGAATCTTCATACTGAATCAACCACGCATGCGTGTGAATTCAAATTTCCCACCAAAAAGTGTGCCACCCCAAAAGAGAGAAAATTTTTAAGATTAAAATATCACGACAAACAAAACAGGCAGTTCAGAGGATTATAACCAAAATACCGCAAGCTCATGAGACGATAATCCAGCCTGTAATCCATTTTGTTCGTTGTCGGTGCTGCTTGATAATCCCGTCCAGCGCACCTGGAGATTGTGTCCAATTTGGTTCATACTGGGATTAATTGAGCGGTAACGAGGCTTATTCGAGGAAAATTACACGTCGAGACGGTTTTTAGGTCAAGACCATATTTTAATAAAGATGTTATTTCGAAATATAATATTTCATTTACACAATTAGTACACGTTTTAAGTGTCGGAATTAGATTAGGGTGTTGATCTGTGATTTTTACTAGCTGAGACATAAATTTTACGACTGAATAAAAAAAGTTTATTGAACGGTATTAATAATCTTTACTAAGTGGTTATATTTCCGCCAATACCTACTCGTAATTCTTACTTAAATTTTATTGGCCACGCCCGTTTTAGGAAGAGGAAAAATCCAACATGAGCAAATCGAAATGGCGTTTTATTGATTTTAATTGGGTCAAAACAACTTGTTAGCTAGAATATGTACCTATCACAGTTTTAATAACGTTATGACTAGACAGTTTCTTCACTAAATTAAAATTAGATAGTGATAAATGACGCATAATATTCCACTTAGTGTGACAAGAAAACTAACTAAAGTCCACATTGCATACATTTCAAGGCGGATTTTGAATATTTTTTTAGTATGTACAACGAAATTAGATAAGAGTAAAAAAACTATTCATACATCGTATTCTTACACTCTGTTCCATTGTTTCTGCTAAGTAAAACACACAATAAGTCTTATTTGTACATTCAGAATGTGGAACGGTATTAGTTGATAGCGAACCCATGATAAATACCACTAGGTACCTTTGGACTCACGGAATTACCCACACTTTTTTATTTATTTGGCCAAACTATTAATAAAATACTAGAATTTTATTCCCACGAAGTGTTTAAAACAAAATCGATGAAGTTCCTAATAAAATTTTATACATTTTTCAAGGATAGATACCTTACTATTTCGTGCGAACTAAGAATAGCCATACTTAACCCGCTAGAAAAACAAACTAAAAGGTATTTAAAATAGCACGTAATACAAAAATATTTGAAAATAAGTCCCAAATGAAGTGTCTCTATTCCATCAACAACCAGATGTAATCTATCTTGGGCAATATTTATCTTCATTCCGTGATACTGACACCTATTACATCAGTGTTGCCAAATGTTTTGTATTGCGATCCAATTAAGTACCTAATGTGATAACTCGAATCCCTCTTTCGAAAAAATTCTAATCTGGCTACTGTACCTACAACTTTAAAAAAATTTCATATGCGTCACGCTAAGTTAAACATTAAGTCTGATTCAACCTATTACTCAAACTGTCTGATAAAATAACATTTTAAGTTTCGCGAGAAGCTTTATTTGAATTTCCCGCCAATCGAGTTGATTAAATGTTGCCTTAATTTTTTTAGGATAACGAAATTTTTGTACTGTATATTTTAAAAGCACAACCAAGGTTGAAAATTTGCACGATGAACTTGTATGTATGTGAAGACATGTGGTGTTTGGTTTATATTCGCTATTGCGACCTTGTAAATTGCATAAGACGGGATAGTTTTTGCTGATAAGTGGTGTGTTTGGATTAACTGAAATAATTTGTAACTATAGTTGATCAGTTCGTCCCCCTGGAAAATTAATGACGTCATATAGGTGTATCAAATATACCTATATTTGGAGTCGTTCACGATTTTTATTGCCGTTCTTTGGTGAAATGTTGTAAGGACGCAGTAATGATAGACGAATGAATTTATATGTGTATTAAATGCAATTATTTGTTTCTTTATTTATTTTGTTATTCGACCAGTGTAGGTATATTGTGTGAGTTCGACAGAATAAAACCTACTAAATTGGCAAATTTGTGCAGAGATAATATTTACGTGTAAATAAATCTAAAAAAAGAATACTTCGTTCTGTTTGCACATCCTGTAGCAGTTTAGGATTTTTAAAAGATAAGTAAGCTGTAGACATAAATTTCTGTGCGTGCGTAAGAAGTTAATCCTGCGTTAACATTATTAAAATTATCTGGCATATAATTCTTTTGTCAGCGTTATAAATATCGTTGGCGTTTTCCTTCGTTAATAAAATTTCAAACATTGTTTTCTATGAAACGGCGCAATGACAACGCTAATTCATTACGATTACGCTAAGCTACCCAAGTTGGCATGTATAAATTAACCGGAAAAATCCAGTAAACCCGCCACAACTGGTCAAATTAATTTGATGAGCACATGCCATTTTTAAGTGCTTGCAGCATTCAAAGCCGCTTCGATATTTTCACGTTTTCTTTCCTTGTGAGTGAAAATAGCGTCAACATATCGATTGACGGCAGCATAATAACACTGAATGAAAATTTCATTACAGATCTCGAAAAATCCGTTGTGTGTGTTCTGCCTGTCGCCACCGTTTTCAATACGAGCTTTTACACGTCCTCCTGAAAGGTCGGCGTCTCGACGCCTTTCAGTCCGTAGCTGGCGTCGCGGCGACTCTTCTCTTTTCTCCGTGCGTTCACGTTTCAAACCGCTGAAACGACGTTCGTCGATTTCTTTAACCAAGTATCTCTCAGGTAAGTGTTTTTTTCGAAAGTGACGCGACATTTTTGTGATATTTAGCAGTTGCCACAATGTGTCACGTCGGCAAAGCATAATCGGCGATTTTTTTAAATGCACTTGGTCGAATAATGAGTAACTTTTAACACTCGTTCGACAACGGTTGCGCACCCGTTGGGAACCTTGACCGAACAAGTGTGCTAAAATAAACAAAAACAAAGCTTCTACATGCACATTCGAAAATACGAAATCGAAGCGAGACAACAATATGGATCACTCACTTATACAAATATCGACCCCGCATTCTATTTTATTCACGAACATGAACCGCCTTCGTTCTCATATTTTTTCACCAGTTATTAAACATGATTGAAGGTGTGTTGATTGCTTTTTGTTACCGGCAGGATTTTTTGGCAGCCAGAAGAGGAAGACGCTCACGCTGCAGGAAGTCCTCGAGGAAGTTAGAAAGGCGTGGATACCGCCACAGTTTTCAGACAAAAGGTAATTTTTGTATTTGGGGAAAAATTTCCGTGCTTTTGGAGCCGGCTGTACTCGACCCGTTTTGTTTATAATATTCGCGAAGTTCGGCGAAATAACGATGTCCTTTTCAGTTGTGCTCGAGCTATGGAAGAAAAACCCGCTGGTGTCACAAACGAAATGGTTTCACCCGTTCTGCTGAGGAGGAGACTAAGTGCACCCGAAACCATAATGAGAAAGTAAGATTTTTAATTAAGTTTAAATTAAGATTTGGTAAGAAGCGCCGGTGACTCAGTAATGTGTATTCTAAAATCCCCCACCTTCTGGCAACGAATCGATGGAAGTGTAGGTCACGCACATCTCCGACGGTATTTTTTATTACTAATTTATATAAGGGATAAGGAAAATTTTGTCTTTTCTTGAAGTGGCAAATGCGGTCGATGTTGCGCTACCGGAATTCAATTTTTTGCCCCCAGGATCGAATTTAATTACCGGGATTTTCAACCCTTCCTTTGTCAGCGTTTTGATTAATCTACGTCACGGTCGTTGTCTGGAATTCTTAGTATCCGGCGTCTCAAATGCCGCATTCGCACTCTAAATTTATAATAGGGTGAGTAATTCGGCTGAAAAATTACTCAGGAATTTCCATGATGTTATTGACCAAAACCGTCTACTGGCGATGTTTGGGTTACAACTTTACGATCAATCTCAATGATCGTAAAAATACATCCCTGGGATTTTCCGCGCCTATTTATGTTTAATTATTACACATACTAAAAGGTGATTATTTCCTCAAGCGCGTGCATTGAACAAAGAAGGGAGAAAGTCGTTGCACCTTTTCCGTCGTGACGCAAAATCACCGCCTTCACAAAATCCTGTATGGTCAATTTAACAATTTATTTGATCTGACGCCCTAAACTTAAACGAAATTGCCAGTGTGATCGAAAGTTTTTGCAATTTAGGTTAGCTGTTTTCCCTAAGTTATTATAAACCTAAATTCCAACCATTTTCGGTCAGTTTTCGCCCCAAACTAAATTTCGTTTTTTTAAAAGGCACACGTTGGCGCAACAACGTTTCGACTCTCAAGACGACCCAAAATTCTACCCTTGTAGAACCGAGATGGAGGGCGGTAGCGACCCCAACTTGACCCGCAAGCGCGACCCCGACTTAATGAGGAAAACCACGTTGCTGCGACGACTGTGGAGTCACAGCAAACCCCTAACAACCAGCCGCTTCTCGGGCTCCTTCTACGAGTGGCAACAGTCCTCGGGGAAGTTGTATTCGGGAAGATCCACTCACTCCCTCACCTCCATTCACTCGTCGCCCGAGCACCTCGTGCGATCGCAAAGCAAGCGATTGTTGAACGAGGAGTTCAAAACCTCCCCGCAACACAAGCAAATCACCCGGAAAGTCTCACCCAAGCACCAGGTTTACGAAACCGGCAAGTACACCACGGAGACGAGCACCACGACGACTCCGAAAACGACAACGGAAACGGAAACGAGATACACGAACACGAGTTACACCACGTTCTCGGACAACTCGGACTCGGCGTACACCAACAGCCGCACGAATTTTTCCGAGTCGTCGAACAACAATTTGTCCACGCCGTCGGAGATTCGCAAGGAGATCGCGGAAGACACGGAGGTGTCGAATCAAGATTTCAACAACTCGCCTGATTTGGGGGAGGTGAAGAAGTTCGTCAAGAACGCGAACACCGCGAACGAAACGGCAACACAGACCGTCGGTACCACGAACGTTAACGTTATATCGAACGTGCAGTTGAGTCAATCGACTTTGGACTTAATTTTTAATCAAGTGATGCAGGACGTGAAAAGTCAGTCTTGTGAAGTTAACGTTATCAAAAATGACAGTGCGGCGAACATTGTTCAAGTGAAGCAGATTCCGAGTTTCTACTTGAAGCGGGAGGACAGTGTTGACAATTCTGAGCATAGTCGGATTGTCAAGTGCATGATCAGTAACGTCGGGGTGGGAAGTCCTTATACTAAGCCTTTGGAACTTCCGCAGATTGCCGTCCCGCGTTTTTCGGCACGTCCTCACACTTCTTCAATGGAAGTTAATATTTCGTCGGGGGAGTCGACTGATAAGGAGTCTGATACGGTTAGTCTAGTGGACAGTTTAGAAGATACGTCGTCACTTAGGACTGATCCTACGCAGAGTGACGTGATCGCCAACAAAAGTGATGTGTCTTTGGAGCTTCCTGATAATAGTGATACTAAGAAGGTGTCTATCAAACCAACCGCATTTTTCATTCCGATGGAGATTGATAGCCGCAGTGAGTTAAAGGCAGTTTCGGATCATCTTCCATTGAAAGTTAAGAATCGGTTAGCAAAAAGACAACAAAAGAGAGAAGAAAGGAACAAAAGTAAACAAAGTTCGTCCAAGTCGGATAGTAATTATATAAGTGCCAGTGAGAATGGCAATCATATCCATCACGTAGTTGATAATAGTGATGTCAATTTAAATAGTGTACCACTCCCTGAAGTCAATTATGGAAAAAACAAGAGACGCAGCAACAAACCGCTCTTGCCTAGCATTGAAACTTTTAGAAGAATCAAAATTGATAGAAGTAAACATGACGATAAAAGGGAAGCGAGGACGAAATCGACGAAACGCAAACTGTCGTTGAAGGAGAATATGATGGGGAATTCTTATTCTACCAAGATCAAACAAACACAATGGACGACGAAAGAAAAAACTAAAGAAAAGTTGTCGCCGTTGTATAGTAGTAAGAACGAATACGTCTACGACTACGGTCCAAGAAGAATCTATCACAAAACGGAATTTAACAACACTAGTAAAAGGATCGAAATTTTGGAAATCATGGAATGTGTGGACACTTCAGAGAAGCAATCATTTTCTAAATCAAGATCCAGAATCCCCGTTTTAATTAACCACAAGCTGCCCAAAATCAACCCAAAGCATAAACCCGAAAAACCTGCTTTTTTAGATTTAGACAGCGTCCCCATCAGTGACCCAAAACTAGATCAACTTATAGCAAACATTTTAATAGAAACTTTAAATATTCCAGAGGTGCAGGCTTCCGAAGAACACCAAGTCTTAGGAGAGAAGGCAACCAATGTCAAAGAACCAAACGAAAGCCACTCTTCTACAAAACAATCACCACCTAAATTCTACCGGAAATTCGAAGTGATACCAGAGGAACTATCGTTTCAGTCCTCTACAGAAACCAACGACGCTTCTAACAACAACGAAACGAAAGCCACCGAAGAAAAAAGTTACCAAGGCAAAGCCGCTGTGGCCGTTGTGAAAGACGATAACTTTTCTTCGATTCCCAAAGGTTGGATCACCTTTTACATGCTTCACAATAATAGAGGCTCCCCAGATAGTACTTCCGACGAAGGTATAAATCTTTCAAAGTATCAGGACCCCTAATGCACGTAGTTTTAAAGAGCACTGTCCATTTTCTTTGAACAAAGCATAAATTCCCGATTTTATTTAGGAACGACATTCGACCCTAATTATCAAAAAAGTAACGAAAACGCCAATGACATGAGCGTCCGCAAAGATTTTAAAAATAGCAGAGACAAGGACGCGGATCCAATCAGAAACGATTTGACTTCTCCATACAGTAACGTGACTTACGATGTGGTGAAGCGAGATAAATACTCGTACGAGTCGAACGAAAACGGTTCTTCCAGCAGCGAAGTCCAAACGAAAACGCTGCTGCCGCCGCCAAATGGAAGATTTAAAAAGTATAACAATCAGAGGAAACTGAAACACAAAATTAACAACGATGTGGAAACCACCAAACATCTTGGTAAGGACGTTAGGTCGAAAAAAAACGCTTTTTAAGGGATTTTTTGGCAAGTGACGCTCTGACTGCATTTATTTTGACTGCCTGTAGACGGGCTCTGCTTTTATAAATGCATTATTTCGTATTTTAAATAGAATAAAAATTACTTCCAAAACTTTCTAAATATTTCATTTATTCAAAGTTGTGACTCCTTTTCTTGGTAAAAAACGAAATCGCACCAGTTGGTACAAAAAGGTAAGGTTATTACAGAAAATCTAACACTCTCGCAGCTGTACTGAAAGACGCCTGTAAACGTGACATAGGTGCTGTTCAAAATTAATTTACACTTTTACAAAAGTGATCAATATTTCAGTCCTGTTACAAAAATCTCCATTGTTTCGCTTTCTAAGTAGCGATGACGAGAGTCTTTTAGCGATACAAAAGCTACCACTATAATTAGCCAAAATTATAAGCCTAACACATTATATTCTCATGGTCGGATATTTCGTCCTTGGCCTGTAAAAACACATGAAGATAATCATTAGGATTTTATCGACCACTTCATGCACTTGTAGGTTGTAGTTCTTTACCTTTTCGTTCACGTAGTAGCACAGTCTAGTTTTGGAACTTATCCAAAGCCTTAACAAAGTCTTGAATAAGTTCCAATACACTTACAGTTAATTAGTAAAGTTGAATCACATTAGCATTAATGTATGCGGGACGTTTTAACTTAATTGATAAATTTTTTGTAAGACACTATTTTGTCGTCATTATATCCTGTTCCTGAAAAACATGATTTAACACCATTGACAAATATTTTTTACTCGTTGCGTCAAGCAAGATTTTTAAAAAATGAGTGAAAGTTCGAATTTAGGTTTATCCCAACCTTCTCAAGAAATACTATAATGGAGTGTCACAGGAATCAATACTTAGACCTATCGTGTTTTGAAAATACGTTAACGATGTTGTATTATTTGGAAACCACATTACGATCTATTAAATCTGATAATTATTGTGAACTGCTGAATCAATAATCAATAATCGTAAATACCAGACTTCATATACTATTTTTATTGCCTTTGGTCGACATTTCGTATTATTCGACGTATTAAGACCTACCTATTTTGATCTGATCGATAGCGCCGTCTAGTGTAGAATTAATATTAATCTAGAAAACGAAGACAATTTAATGCTATTTCAATGCTGCTTTTCAACTGGCATATACCTGGATTTTCTGCAAGGCAGGGTTCCAAATCTTATTAAAACATCGTAATCCGGTAGTCTATAGATTCGTTTAACCAAGGGCTTAGAAAAAGTTTTCAGAGGATTAGGTGCAAAATGGTCTATACTTCATTGCAACCCGAAGGATTGTGTCAGATTCGACTAAAAGAATTTCTCTCTTTTGAATATTTATGAGAAGGGTTGTTGAACATATTTTTGAAAATAGCCGAGTTAACGAACGCAGTTAATACCTGTAAAATTCTAAATGCTTTAAATGTTTGGAAGTGTTTGAAAATATGGATCGAATATTTAAAGCAAGTGCTGGTTTGTTCACCCTCGCGGAGAGTGGGGGTAGACAAGGTCAACATCGATACGTTCGTATAATTTTATGGCTAGCCGTATATCTTAATATTTAATCGCTCTAATGTTGCCAACCTTGTTGGTAAAACGCGGCAACAATTTGTGTCAAGTTTATTGTTTTTAATGTGTTTTTATTGCTGTGATAAGTGGAATCAACAGTTAAGCAAAATTAGGGCTGCAAATAAATTTAGGGTTCAGGATCCACTTATTCATATCTTAAAATATTTGCAAGTTATTAGTATATTCGTAAGGATCATCTACAATGATGATCAAAAACAAACTCCTACTATAGTTTTTTTTTGTGCAAAATTTTCAATAAATAAAAACGTTTGTTCTACTGTATTTTCCTAGGTGAATGGTCAGTGACAGTAAGCGGAACAAACAGTTACGGGCAGTTCGCCCCTGACCTTGAAATGTGCCTCAAATTCCCCGAGTCTCAAAAAACCTACAACTGCCCGAGCCAATCCGATTCGGGTTTAGGCGAAGACAACGAAAAGCCACAATTTCCAAAAATAAGTACAAAACAAGATCAATACAAAAATTCTCAGAACGAAAGTAAGCGCTTTCACATTGCAGATAAGCGTTTTCATGCATAATTTATTCCAGACGAAGGCGTTTTTATGCAGCAGCGTCTACCAGAGATCGGAAGCCCTGCAAAGACAACGAAAAGGCAGCGGGTAAAATTTGTGCTTGTAGTAGGCGAGGGATACAAAACAGTGTATTTCAGAGAAGCGACTCTAGCATCCCCCCACTGTCTTCCAGAATCGAACCAAGACAAACTAGAACCAGCACCCGACGATACAATCTGAGCCGGCCCAAAATCGACTACCATAAAGTGGATACGCCGAGGAATGCGATCAGTATATTTGATGACAGGTAGTGACAGGTGACGTAAAAAACCTTGAATCATCGCTTTTGTTGTTGTAGCCACTATGCCGAAATTTTGAAACGTTTTCCCGAAATTTTGAGCATCACTGGAAACGGGATTAATCAAGGAAAGAAATGAAGCATACGTAGTATACTTAGAAGTTAAGCTCGTTGTTATCGTTATGGGTCTATAATGTATTTTATAAACATTTTTTAATGCTGTTGTATAGATCTTATTAAAAATAAATATGACCTTTATCTCCCAGCGACACGATTTTTTAATACACGAAAATCAACATGGCGAAGTGAGTTTGTCCGCACGAAGTGACCCTATTTGATGTAGTTACCGCTGACTTTAGACACAAAGATGCTTATTCTAGTAAAGATGTGTATAAAAAAATAAATGTATTAGACAAGCGTAGAGTAGAGCCTCAAGACCGTGTCTGGTGTCCTTCTAGGGATTCAAGTAGATATATTTCTTTTTATTCTGTTTTTTTCTGCTTTATAGAAAATGGCTGGCCCAGATCTAAATAAGTATATATTGCACCATTTAGACAAGAATGTAACAATTTAAAATTATAAGTAGCCAAAAGCCAAATTAACCGTGTTTAAACCAACAAAATCGTTGAGTGAAACGGAGTATACAGAGAGGACAGAACACAATGAAGAGGGTGCGGTCAGGTCAGGCAATTAAAATTGTTCGCATCAAAAGACACCTACTCAGGTACCGTTTACTACCCTTTTCATTTTGCTCAATCTTTAGAAAAGGTAACGGTTTTAGTGGAGAGGCAGAGGATTCACTCAGTATATTGTCTATGTTTAAAATAGAGTCCTCCAAATAGTGAATTCCAATAACCTGCTCAGAGTTATTATGGTAATAATATACAACGCCTGCCTGCTTTTGGGTTGCTTGTCGGAAAGGATTAAAGGTTTCCGACGTCATTGACAATTAAAATCTGATTCATAGAAGCCTTATTAGATATAATCCAATAAACAGAAAGTCAGCCTTCAGCATTTGTCGGACTCTACTTGAAGTGACAATTTAGCCCAAAAGTTTGCCGAATAAATCAATGTTTTAAAGTTATCATAAGCATGGTAAATTTTTGATCAAAATGTATTTGCTCATCCCCCCTAAAAAATTGATGACGTCACCCCAAAATTTTGCTAACTAAAATGTACAAAGTATGATGATTGATGAGTGTGTACATGTGATGTAACACTGCATTAATATTTTTTAGATTTGCTTATACGGCTTGTCTGAAAAAATTAATGAATGAGTCAATTTATTTTATTGATTAAATCAAGAATTGCAAAACTAAATATGTACTTTCAAATCTTGATGTTGTGAAGTTATTATAAGCACGTTAAGTTTTTAATCAATCGCAAAAATTTGATTACGTCATCTCAAAATTTTGCCGAATAAATTCTTTCGAAAATGTGCAAAATATGATCAGAAGTGAGGGAAGTTCTGTCGACATAATTTTCGACCAATTTTTTTAGGACAATAACCATAACAAACAGTAGTTATTAATCGTTGTGCATTATTATTAATCGAACAAGCTGTTATTTTTCATTAATAAATAAACAAAAAAAAACATTGTAGTAAGATATTTATAAATTATACACAAAAACAAAAACAACAAAAAAAAACCATTAAAGCATAACCAACTAAACACTAGAGATGTGCAAAATTCCCGCCTTGTGCATATAAGTAAGCTCGTAATATTTCCTAATTTTGATCATTTTTTGTAAAAGTTAGTGATCAGTGTCATCGCTATTTGCTAAGATAAAACTGATTTTGGCAGATGACATACCTTTTAAGAAAAGAGAGGGCGGGTGGGCGGGGTTAATACCTGCTAAGATAATACTGATTTTGGCAAATGACATACTCTCTAAGAAAAGACAGGGTGGGTGGGCTCAAAAGATTGTTTCAAGTTTATCCAGCAACAAAACACCAGATTCCTTTAAAAAACAGCAGGGAACCTAAAATTAACTGCGAACATTTTGAATGTCGAGTTTTGAAAACTTTGACAATTCCATTAGCGAATTTCGAGAATCCAGGGTAATAAAATGCCTTCTAAAAAATTCAGAAATACCACTATTATCTCAAGAAAAAAACCAGAGATACTGCTCTTTAGCTTAGCATGGTAGTACCTATCATTATTTATTATCTTAGTAATGTCAGAAGTGTACCATAGTCAAGGCCGTTGTATTAACATAACGTCCTTGATTACAATGTTATATATTGATAATATATTTTATTAAAATGAACACAACTTTCAATTTTTTACCATTTCAACTTTATTTTGTCTAATTTTTCCATACAATAATAAACAAAACGACAAATACACCACAAGTTGTGGGTAATTTTTTTTTAATGAAAAATCTTGAAAACCAACTCCTTTTGTCATTCATTATAAAATTTCTGTTATGCATCATTTGGATTGAAACACAAATCTCAAGATTTGTGTTTCAACATACAAGGTAAAGTAAAACATGTAACTATTGTTATAACTGAAATTACTAGTTGTCGCCAGCAACCTTGAATTAAAATTAATCAAATTATCAGACTGCTTAATTTGCAATTTAAACTTTGGAAGAATAACATATTTGTAATCGCGCACCATCTTTCGGTGGTGATGTTTGCAGAGGCGGTTCGTATCTTTGCTACTTTTGATTTTGGCATTTACTATCCAGGGTGACTATGAATTTTTGACTTTTTTTTAGTTTTGTTGAAGTTCGTTGTTGATACTGATTTTGTTGTAAAATTTTGTAGTTTCCACATTTTGAAATAGCGATGTTGAAGTGCGACGTTAGTTTATTTTTACGTAGTTGGATAAAAGTGTCTCGATATCCATTAAAAGTCGAGATTGATGTTACCCAGATCAGTTGACGCGAGTAAACGATTGCTGAGTGTGTAACAATTCCGCGTCTTGACTCTTGAGAAGCATGAAATATTTATTAGTCCACGTAACGGTGACCCAATTTGTCACCCGTGAGTAAAACCTTAGCTGCGTATGTGTGTACTGTTCATGTACTCACTCACTGTCTCTTTTTGGTAGACGGGAAATTTCGTAACGCCGAAAAAGAGCGCATGTTTATTTCATTAAATTAATTTTTGTGATACAAAAATGACACCCAGCAGTTATGCAGCCCAACATACTCGTCCAGAAATAATTGCTATGCAGTGAGTCAGCTGAGTGGTCGAGTGGTGGCAGGCGATGACAGATCGCAACAACGAACTGGTTCACTACGCGTCACGTACCTTTCTAGTTAACCTAAAAGTTGACTTTTACGAGTAAAGTGCGCGAGGGAGGTGTTTGGTGGTAGAAAAAAATGCCCATCAGTTACGCAATCGAAAAAGACACGGGGATACGGTCGGAAAGTGTGCGTTTTCTCGCCGTCGAGGTGCATTAATTTTAAGCGTAGACCATCTTTGTTATGTTGCTATTCACAAGTTCCACAAGCAATCGATGACGGCTGGTGGGGATATTATTACATGTAATGTTGTTGTGTGTTGGTTCAGAATTAAAAAAAAATTGTCCAAAAATTGGTGTATCGATGTGAAAAGTGTTGTGAAATAGTTCGGGGAAGAAAAGTACGCAGCATTGAGGCGATTTGGGATAAATACTCGTCGCAAATGAAACCATAGTGACGGCCAGGTAGAGTACCTCGCTAATCTTCTGGAAAGTAACTTTTCCCGAGCTGATGATTAAACCGTGACTTATACTGTGTCCAAAAGCCGTTTTCCTGTGACTCGTGCTCAAAAATCCATCGTGCGTTTTTCTTCTAGGACTTAATTATGTAAAAATAGTAAAAATGACAACAAAACTGGATAAAACAGCCAGTCCTGTTAAAACTCATGGCAACGCGAAACACACACCTAAACAAGAATCGGGATATGGCTACAAAGAAGAAGCTTTCGAGTTTGATCCGCCCCCGGAAGCCCCGGTATTCTATCCAACTGAGGAGGAATTTAATGACCCCCTTGAATACATTAATAAGATTCGAAAATACGCTGAAGGCTCAGGCATTTGCAAAATCAAACCACCCCCAGTAAGTCACGAATTTTTCAAAACTTTGCAGACAGCCTCCTTTGATCAGACTTTGACCACCTCATTGTCCAGCTATTTTTGTTCAACTACACTTGTTAATAACCTAAAGTATTATGGCTACAAATTACTTGGCTGCCATATTTCCATGTTATCTACAATACGTTGTGATTTTTTCTAGAACTGGCAGCCTCCTTTTGCCGTTGATGTCGATAAGTTAAGATTTACACCACGAATCCAAAGATTAAATGAGCTAGAGGTACCTCTATTACATAATTTTGCACAAAAATTACCCCTCTTTTTCTAGGCTAAAACTCGGGTCAAACTAAATTTTCTCGATCAAATCGCCAAATTTTGGGAACTCCAAGGTTCCACATTGAAAATCCCAATGGTCGAAAAAAGATGTATCGACTTGTACACGTTACACAGCATTGTTCAAAGTCAAGGTAATTACTTAATTACTATAATCGCTTTTCTACTTATCAGTCTCCTCTGCTCCTTCTTATTACATTATTTTTTTTTAAATAGGTGGTTTTGAGCAAGTAACCAAAGACAGAAAATGGTCAAAAATCGCCATTAATATGGGATACCCTCCTGGTAAAAGTAGCATAGGAACCATCCTCAAAACCCACTATGAAAGATTACTTTTCCCTTTTGATCTTTTCAAAGTAGGGAAAACTATGAACTTTGTAAGTCCCCACGGTTTCCCCTAATCACACCTCATTTATTTACTTCTTTAGAAAATGACATCACCAATTAATGAAGAAAACGAAAAAGCTGATAAAGATTATAAACCGCACGGGATCGTAGGGAGGATGGCCATTAAACCACCACCTGAAAAACACGCCCGGCGGTCAAAACGATTCGAAGTTGACGTAATTATTCCGAATTTTGCTTTACTTAAGTGGGAAAAGGTTGTAGACGACGTTGACCAAGTGACACATACGTGCGAAATCATTTCAAACACCCAATGCGTTACGTAACAACAACATTACGCACCTTGATTCAAAAATCACGTGGTTTTTGACAAGTCGTTCTTGTTACGACAAAATGGCGGTGCTTGATTTTTTATTTATATTTTGTTTTTATATCATTTATATCCAAAACAAACAAGTTTTATTTATAATAATAATAATAATAATAATAATAAAATTTGTTTAAAGGAGCATTACATGTTTTTAAGCACGAAGCTTAAAAGTTGTAATAGAGATAAACGAACAAAGGTTAAAAGTTGAAAGTATAATCGTTTTAATCACTTTGTGCTTATCTCGCAAGAACGTTTTGAAAACATCAAGCTTGACGCAAAATACGATGGGTGTGACCAACGTTGGCATCATCCGGACAACGCGTTGACATCTTTTGGATTTGCAATTAGTTGACGCCTACTTGATGTGCTGTGGTGCCATATTTGATTAAAATTTAGAACCGTAATCTAGTGACCGAATTTCATTCATAAAAGATGAAATATGGGTCAGTGGAATAGGGTTATAAGTCTTAGTTAAACATCATTACTTACTAATTACAAGTTTAAAATTGGTCGAAAGTTACTTAGATAGAACTTCCCTCGTCTCTCAAGTATAATTAAACAAATCCATCTGGGGGGGGGGAGTAATTAAAAAATATTATACAATTTAATTTTTTTTTTATAAAATTGAAGTAGCATTTAGCGTTTCAGCAGCTCACGATATACCTAAACATCTCACCTGCTATCTTTTGCGTCGTTGCTATCAAGGGGAGAGGCTTTTTCGTATCAAAGTTGATACAAGATAAAACGAGATAAGCACAAGTTGTCAACATTAAGCTAAAATCTTAGTTTTGTCCGATAAGACGACAGCGTAGCTGTTGAAACGCGTCGCCTGTTTGGTTTGCCGTATGTTGCCCCCGGGTCGACGAACCAGTAAAACGTAAAGCTTTCCCGTCCATTAATTGATGATTGTATTGCTATACTGTCTTTGCTGGTTTGGTTTCTATTCTCGTAGAGTTTAACCCAATCGTCTATTGTAACATTTTCCGACTTAACTAAACTGCAACCGACCGCATAGTTTAGTAAAACCATTTTAGCCAAAACTGGAAGACGACGTGAAGGAGGAATGTAAAGACGAGAACAAAGAGTTGAAACGCCTCCAGTTTTATGGAGCTGGTCCGAAAATGGCCATCAGTAAAGATAAGGACGACGAGAAGCGGCATAACAAAACTGTCAATTACGATTTCGATCCTGTGAGTATTTGTGTGAGTGGCGGGGGACGGCAAAACGGATTTGTGTTACAGTTAGCGAAATACGTGTGCCACAATTGTAACCGTGGCGATTCTGAAGAATACATGTTGTTGTGTGACGGCTGCGATGACAGTTATCACACGTTTTGCCTCATGCCGCCGCTGGGGGAAATCCCGAAAGGGGATTGGCGGTGCCCGAAATGTGTAGCTGAAGAAGTATCCAAACCTATGGAAGCCTTCGGTTTTGAGCAGGCACAGCGGGAGTATACGTTACAACAGTTCGGCGACATGGCCGACCAGTTCAAATCGGAGTATTTCAACATGCCAGTGCACGTATGTATCATACTTTACCTTAACTGTGTTACTTAAGTCAGAATAGGTGGTCCCGACGGGTGTCGTCGAAAAAGAGTTCTGGCGCATCGTCTCCTCGATCGATGAAGACGTGACGGTTGAATACGGTGCTGACCTCCACACGATGGACCACGGCTCAGGCTTCCCTACCAAAACGTCGCTAAACCTACTACCCGGGGACAAAGAATACGCCGATTCCGGCTGGAATTTGAACAACCTCCCAGTGTTAGAGAACTCGGTCCTTGGGTACATCAATGCGGACATTTCGGGGATGAAAGTCCCTTGGATGTACGTAGGGATGTGCTTCGCCACGTTTTGTTGGCACAATGAAGACCACTGGAGCTACTCGATCAACTACCTCCACTGGGGCGAAGCCAAGACATGGTATGGAGTTCCTGGAAAAATGGCCGAAGCGTTTGAAGAAACCATGAAATCCGCAGCGCCAGAGCTGTTCCAGTCGCAGCCAGATCTACTGCATCAACTGGTCACGATCATGAACCCCAACATATTAATGAAAGCTGGGGTTCCGGTGTACCGGACGGATCAGCACGCTGGCGAGTTCGTGGTGACTTTCCCAAGGGCGTACCACGCAGGGTTCAATCAAGGGTACGTGATTTCTGGCTAGAAAGTATTGAAGCTCGGTGTACGTCATAGCACTAAAGTAAATGGACGTAAAGGTGCAGGATCCTGCATCTGCAATGATTTTGCAACTACCGCGTCTGTATACAGTGACCTACACCACTCTGATCTATTTGTGCTAACCTGATTGGGGGTTGTAATGTTGTAGGTACAATTTTGCGGAGGCTGTGAATTTCGCCCCGGCGGATTGGCTCAGAATGGGTCGAGAGTGCATCCTGCACTACTCAAATCTGAGGCGTTTTTGTGTTTTCTCGCACGACGAGCTGGTGTGTAAGATGGCGTTGGACCCTGATAAGTTGGGTCTGACAATCGCCGCGGCCACATACCAAGACATGTTGCAGATGGTCGAAACCGAGAAAACCCTACGCAAGAACCTCCTGGATGCGGTAAATTTTGTACTGTTTGTTAAGTTTCATTTGTTATTTTATGTGTGTTTAGGGCGTTTCTAACGCTGAGCGCGAGGCTTTCGAGTTGCTTCCTGATGACGAGAGACAATGTGACACTTGTAAAACTACATGCTTCCTTTCTGCAGTAACTTGCAAATGCTCACCTGATGTGCTTGTTTGTCTTCGACATTACGCTAACCTATGCAGTTGTCATCCAGAGAATTACACTCTTCGTTATCGTTACACGTTAGATGAGTTACCTGTAATGCTAAAATCGTTGAAATTGAAGGCCGAGTCGTTCGACCATTGGGTTAACCGGGTTAAGGATGCTCTAGACCCGAAAACCCCGAAAACGTTAACGTTGCAAGAATTGAAAGCGTTACTGAACGAAGCCGACGGCAAAAAGTTCCCGAAGTGTGATTTGCTTCAAACGTTAACGGATGCCGTCGACGACGCAGAGAAGTGCGCAAGAGTGATTCAGCAACTTGACTTAAACAAAATGCGCACGAGGACTCGGAATTCGTCGGACACTAAGTACAAACTGACTTTGAAAGAATTAATTTTGTTCAATGAAGAATTAGATAGCTTAGTTTGTATTTTAGAGGAAGCAAAGAGTATTAAAGATTTATTAGATGAAACTAAGAAATTCGAAACCACTAGTAAAAATTTGTTGGAAATGAAGTTGAGTGATTGTTCGATTTCGGATTTAGAAACATGTATTAGTCAAGGAAACAATTTGTGTATAGAACTTCCAAATTTACGTAGTATTAAATTGAGATTACGTCAGTGCGTTTGGCTTAACGACGTGTTGTCGTATAAGAAGAAAACCGAAGTTTTGGGACTGGAGTCCATCAAAAATATTATCAAAACGGGTGGTCAGTTGCCGCCTAATCCCGAAATTGAGAATGAGTTGAGCGAACTGCAAACTTTACTAACGAGGAGTGAGGAATGGGAACAGAAGGCACAAGACATTCTAAAAGATACTGGAAGCGAAGTACTTATAGAAGTCGACAAACTCCTCAAAGAAGCAGGACAAATAAATTCGTATCTTCCGTCAGAAGAGTTCCTTTTTGAAGCTATGGATCGTGCTAGAGATTGGTTACGTCAACTCGAGGAAATGAATTCCGCCGAGTGTTACCCATACTTCAACGACATGGAAGAGTTAATCAAGAAAGGTCATCAATTATCTCTTCATTTGGTCGAAGTTAGCAAATTAGAATCGTACCTCGAAACCGCCAACGCCTGGAAGGAGAAAACCAGTCGGGCGTTCCTCCGAAAAAACTCCACCTTCACTCTAATGGAAGCACTATCGCCTCGGGTACAATTCAACAATGTTAACAAGTGCCGGAAAAAGGGTCCAGAAGACGATCACGGCATCTTTAACTTGACCAGTGATATGGACCCAGCAACTGTGGTTTCCCTATTCAAAGAAGCCGAACACAAAGAAATGGAACTAATCCGAAACGTGAGAGCTTCAAACTCGGAAAAGAACCTCGACCCGAATGACACTACCACGTACTGCGTTTGCCAGAGAGGTCTCTTCGGTTTGATGATGCAATGCGAACTCTGCAAGGACTGGTTTCACTCAAATTGCGTCCCACTTCCCAAAGTTGCGTCTTCAAAGTACAAAGGAAACTTCACAAGCGTCGCACTTCATTTGGGTTTCAAAGACTGTAAATTCCTGTGTCCCACCTGCTTTAGGACTAAGAGGCCGCGTCTGGACGCCATTCTTCTCCTTTTGATGTCCCTGCAGAAGCTATACGTGAGAGTCCCGGAGGGCGAAGCCCTCCAAAGCCTCACCGAGCGCGCGATGAACTGGCAAGACCGCGCCCGACAATTGATGCAGCACCCGGAACTCGAAGCAGCTAAAAACAAACTGTCTTCGTTTAGCCAGAAGTACTCGGAGGCTGCGGCTCGACAAAGAACCGAGAAAATCATCACCAGTGAACTGAAAAGAGCGTACAAGAACCCGGAGCTGCACGCGAGGGTGAACGAAATTGCGCCCTATAGTGGGGTGAACCAGGAGGACCACCGGACCGAAGAGAATTCAATCGTCACGGACTCCTCGGACGACTCGAAGGGGTATGCTTCGGCCGACGACCGCATGGGGGAGCACGCATACTCGCTGCACTTCCCCAAGTTTGATAACAGCGAGTACAAGCTTTTGATACCTCCAGAGATCAAGAAGCAGATAGAGGAGCTCCTGCTGGAGGGTGACCTTTTGGAGGTGTACCTGGACGAGACCTTCCAGCTGTGGAAGCTGCTTCAAGCGTCGCGGGATTCCGACAAAGACGCGATTTTGATCGACTTCGACGTAAGTGTAGTTCTAGTGAATACATAATAGTAATAATAGCACTAAAATAGATGCGGGTAATAGTGCAGTATGCGGCAGGTCTCCATGATAAAGATTAAAGGAAAAATATACTTAACTATATACATTAACTTGTTCTTGTTTTGTAGATGCACTCGAAGAACTTGCCTTCGAAGCGCGGGCGTAAGCGGCGGTCTGACGAGCTCGAGCTGCTGAAGAAGACGAAGGTTGTAAAGAACGAGCTCGAGAATAAGAAGGTGAAGCCGCAAAAAGCCAAAGAGATTTCGCAAGGGAAGAAGGAAGGGACGCGTCGTAAGGGTCGGCGCCGTCAGTCCACGGGGTCGGAGGACGACGACGAAGATATTTGCGCGGCGACGGGTTGTCTGAAGCCTTCCGGTGAGAACGTCGATTGGGTTCAATGTGACGGTGGGTGTGATAAGTGGTTTCATATGGCTTGCGTTGGTCTGTCGGCGCAGGACATATGCGAGGATGAGGATTACATTTGTATGACCTGCTCACAAAATACTTACGGGACACTTAACACCATGGATAGTTTATCGTCTGTCAGTTCTGAATGTTCCACTCTTACCCAGCCTTCCACGTCTAAAGACTCTGTTCAGTGCAAATTTTAGTCATAAATGTCCAGGGGTTATCCGATGGACTGATATGAGTATTTTATAGTATAGGTAATGTATACACTGTTCAGTTGTGATAATTTAAGATAAGAAATGTAAAAATATTTTCTTGTATCATTATCATTTTTACATTTGAATTAAGTATGCCTATGTTTTTTTGTATATTAATTTGTTTTTCGATAAATAACGCTATTTTTAATCTAGTGGTTTATCTACAGTTCAAATATTGTGTGGCGACCTTTTTTTTTCGTATTCGAAAGATGAACCACGGTTGATTCATATAAATTAATTGTTTTATTTATTTTTGTCGTCGTTTTTCCTCTTCTTTGATTGTGCACCATCTACAGCACAATAGAGATTATCTTTATTTTTCTATATTTTATTTCTTGTTTATGATGTTTGATTTTCTGATAGTTATAAGAAGTATTATTAATAATAACATTATTGTCCTTGCATTTTTTTTGTCAATAAATACTTTTGGATACTACTATATGTTTTTTTAAGTATAAGTGCTAGTAACAAAGTGTCCGCACAAAATTGAATTGCACATGTCGTATTCATGTGACGAACACTACTAATTAATCACCTTGAAACTTATAATTTATTATATAAGAGGGCGCACTTTGTATTCGAGCCTCAAACCGAAACTACAGAATGTGAAACCTGAAAAAAAACGACTGTATTTATGCGCCACTTCAAGGTTGCGAGAGTTATTTCAGCCCTAAAATTGATTGGAATTTAGACACTTCCGCCAGTCCTCGAAGTCCAACCAACATCCGGGCAAGGTGGAATTTTTGCATAACTCCGGTTAAAAATAATGTGAATTTACTAAACCAATGTACACATTTCACGGGGGTCTGAAAAAATGCTTAGATGACGTCATGATTTTTTGGAGGGAAATAAGGAATATAATTTCTCATCAAAATTGGTGGATGGAGGGTGTTTTAATAAAATAAATGCAGAAATTGGCATGCGGTTCCTTTAATAAATCGTAAATTTTAATTCTGATTACTGCATTATATGCTGATTCTGCAAAAACTGTTTGAGGTGACGTTATCGAAATTTTGGTGAGGATGGACAGACAAATTTCATCACACCAGGTTGATCATAACCTCAAAAGATATTAATAATAACAAAAAAATGTGAAACGATGTCATCAAGTTTTTAGATGGGATAAATTTTGATTTCACAGTCACACCACACCCTATTATAGAAGGACGTTTTCCGGGTTTGGATCGTGCCAGTTTTGCAGTTTCTCGTCTAATATCGTTCTCTTCATTCCCGAACGTTTCGTTCTTCTTGTCCAAAAATTCCTGAAGATCCGCTGAAAACAAGAGGAGATAAATAATACAATATGAATTTAGTAAATTTACTAAACATAAAGTCCCAAACATAATATAAGAAATAACAAATTGAATCGAAAAATTTACAGAGGCGCCCGAATTCAAATTATATATACTTTTAAATGAAGTAAAACTTCAGCCTTTCAGGTGCCAATCTGAATTTTTTCCACGCTGGTTCAGCAGGTCACGGGACTCCAAGATTTTTTTAAATTACTTCAAAAACTAGACACAACGGGTGCACGAGATTCAAGCTACTTTAAAAACGAGCCACAAGTAATCCCCAAGGTTCTTTCAACTACTTCAAAAACCAGACACAAAGGGGTTCAAGAGATTCTTTCAAACTATTTCAAAATAAAAAATGGGTATTCGAGATTTTTTCAAATTAGCTAAAAAACAAAACCAAATGAGCCCTGGAGATTCTATCACATTACTTCAAAAACAAGACAAAAAGGGTCCCCAAGATTCTTTCAATTTACTTCAATAAGAAACAAAAATGGTCCCTGAGATTCTTTCAAATTACTTCAAAAACGAAACAAAAGGAGTCCTCGAGACTCTTTCAAACTACTTTAAAAACAAAACAGAAGGGGATCCCAGGATTATTTAAAAGTACTTCAAAAATAAAACGCAAGCGGACCCGGAGGTTCTTTCAAGTTACTTCGAAAAAAAGATAAGGGATACTTGACATTCTTTTAAACTAACTACTTAAAAAGCAAAACAAAATGGTGCCCGAGATTCCTTCAAACTACTTCAATAAGAAACAAAAATGGTCCCCGAGATTCTTTCAAATTACTTCAAAAACGAAACAAAAGGGGTCCTCGAGATTCTTTCAAACTACTTCAATAACAAACGAAAAGGGTCCCCGAGATTCCTTAAAACTACTTCAAAAACAAAACAGAAGGGGATCCGGAGGTTCTTTCAAGTTACTTCGAAAAAAAGATAAGGGATCCCTGAGATTCTTTTAAACTAACTACTTAAAAAGCAAAACAAAATGGTGCCCGAGATTCTTTCAAACTACTTCAATAAGAAACAAAAATGGTCACCGAGATTCTTTCAAATTACTTCAAAAACGAAACAAAAGGGGTCCTCAAGATTCTTTCAAACTACTTCAAAAACAAAAGAGAAGGGGGTCCGGAGGTTATTTTAAGTTACTTCGAAAAAGAGGTAAAGGATCCCTGAGATTCTTTTAAACTAACTACTTAAAAAGCAAAACAAAATGGTGCCCGAGATTCTTTCAAACTACTTCAATAAGAAACAAAAATGGTCCCGAGATTATTTCAAATTACTTCAAAAACGAAACAAAAGGGGTCCTCGAGATTCTTTCAAACTACTTCAATAACAAACGAAAAGGGTCCCCGAGATTCCTTAAAACTACTTTAAAAACAAAACAGAAGGGGATCCGGAGGTTCTTTCAAGTTACTTCGAAAAAAAGATAAGGGATCCCTGAAATTCTTTTAAACTAACTACTTAAAAAGCAAAACAAAATGGTGCCCGAGATTCTTTCAAACTACTTCAATAAGAAACAAAAATGGTCCCCGAGATTCTTTCAAATTACTTCAAAAACGAAACAAAAGGGGTCCTCGAGATTCTTTCAAACTACTTCAATAACAAACGAAAAGGGTCCCCGAGATTCCTTAAAACTACTTCAAAAACAAAACAGAAGGGGATCCGGAGGTTCTTTCAAGTTACTTCGAAAAAATGATAAGGGATCCCTGAGATTCGTTTAAACTAACTACTTAAAAAGCAAAACAAAATGGTGCCCGAGATTCTTTCAAACTAGTTCAATAAGAAACAAAAATGGTCCCCGAGATTCTTTCAAATTACTTCAAAAATGAAACAAAAGGGGTCCTCGAGATTTTTTCAAACTACTTCAATAAGAAACAAAAATGGTCCCTGAGATTCTTTCAAATTACTTCAAAAACGAAACAAAAGGGGTCCTCGAGATTCTTTCAAACTACTTCAATAACAAACAAAAAGGGTCCCCGAGATTCCTTAAAACTACTTCAAAAACAAAACAGAAGGGGATCCGGAGGTTCTTTCAAGTTACTTAGAAAAAAAGATAAGGGATCCCTGAAATCTTTTAAACTAACTACTTAAAAAGCAAAACAAAATAGTGCCCGAGATTCTTTCAAACTACTTCAAAAGAAACAAAAATGGTCCCCGAGATTCTTTCAAATTACTTCAGAAACGAAACAAAAGGTGTCCTCGAGATTCTTTCAAACTACTTCAATAAGAGACAAAAATGGTCCCCGAATTTTTTTTAAATTACTTCAAAAACGAAACAAAAGGGATCCTCGAGATTCTTTCAAACTACTTCAATAACAAACAAAAAGGGTCTCCGAGATTCCTTAAAACTACTTCAAAAACAAAACAGAAGAGGATCCAGAGGTTCTTTCAAGTTACTTCGAAAAAAAGATAAGGGATCCCTGAGATTCTTTTAAACTAACTACTTAAAAAGCAAAACAAAATGGTGCCCGAGATTCTTTCAAACTACTTCAATAAGAAACAAAAATGGTCCCCGAGATTCTTTCAAATTACTTCAAAAACGAAACAAAAGGGGTCCTCGAGATTCTTTCAAACTACTTCAATAACAAACAAAAAGGGTCCCCGAGATTCCTTAAAACTACTTCAAAAACAAAACAGAAGGGGATCCGGAGGTTCTTTCAAGTTACTTCGAAAAAAAGATAAGAGATCCCTGAGATTCTTTTAAACTAACTACTTAAAAAGCAAAACAAAATGGTGCCCGAGATTCTTTCAAACTACTTCAATAAGAAACAAAAATGGTCCCCGAGATTCTTTCAAATTACATACTTCAAAAACGAAACAAATGGGTCCTCGAGATTCTTTCAGACTACTTCAATAACAAACAAAAAGGGTCCCCGAGATTCTTTAAAACTACTTCAAAAACAAAACAGAAGGGGATCCGGAGGTTCTTTTAAGTTACTTCGAAAAAAAGGTAAAGGATGCCTGAGATTCTTTTAAACTAACTACTTAAAAAGCAAAACAAAATGGTGCCCGAGTTTCTTTCAAACTACTTCAATAAGAAACAAAAATGGTCTCCGAGATTCTTTCAAATTACTTCAAAAACGAAACAAAAGGGATCCTCGAGATTCTTTCAAACTACTTCAATAAGAAACAAAAATGGTCCCTGAGATTCTTTCAAATTACTTCAAAAACGAAACAAAAGGGGTCTTCGAGATTCTTTCAAACTACTTCAATAACAAACAAAAAGAGTCCCCGAGATTCCTTAAAACTACTTCAAAAACAAAACAGAAGGGGATCCGGAGGTTCTTTCAAGTTAGGTACTTCGAAAAAAGATAAGGGATCCCTGAGATTCTCTTAAACTAACTACTTAAAAAGCAAAACAAAATGGTGCCCGAGATTCTTTCAAACTACTTCAATAAGAAACAAAATTGGTCCCCGAGATTCTTTCAAATTACTTCAAAGACGAAACAAAAGGGGTCCTCGAGATTCTTTCAAACTACTTCAATAAGAAACAAAAATGGTCCCCGAGATTCTTTCAAATTACTTCAAAAACGAAACAAAAGGGGTCTTCGAGATTCTTTCAAACTACTTCAATAACAAACAAAAAGGGTCCCTGAGATTCTTTCAAATTACTTCAAAAACGAAACAAAAGAAGTCCTCGAGATTCTATCAAACTACTTCAATAACAAACAAAAAGGATCCCCGAGATTCCTTAAAACTACTTCAAAAACAGAACAGAAAGGGATCCGGAGTTAGTACATGTTAAAATAAGCTCGATTTTGGTAAATGACATAACCGCTAAGAAAATAGAGGGCAGATGGGCGGGGCTAGTACCTGCTAAGATAAGACTGATTTTGGCAAATGATATACCCTCTAAGAAAATAAAGGGTAGAAGGTATATCATTGGGCAAAATCTGTTTTCTCTTGGCAAGTATTGGCCTCGTCCACCCGCCCTTTATTTTCTTAGAAGGTATGCCATTTGGCAATATCAGTTTCACCCTGGCAAGCACTAGCCCCGCCCATCCGCCCTTTATTTTCTCAGAGGGCTGCTACTTTTTTAGATCAGACTGATTTTGGCAAATCATATACCCTGTAAGAAACGAGAGGGTGGGTGGGCGGGATTAGTCCCTGCTAAGATAAAACTGATTTTGGCAAATGACAT